AAGAAAAGAAAGAAAGAAAGATACAAAAAAAAAGGAAAACATTACTTTGGTCCAGAAAGGCAGGACAACACAAAGCAATGGAGGGGGAGGGCAGAGGGGCGGTTGGGGTTCCAGGATATGGGTGAATTTAAACATTTTCTGGCTGACGATTGGTTGAGTTTGTCTAAAGGCCTGGGATTGATAGAAAGGCACTGTTGAAGTTAGATGTGAAGACCAAGGCCAGGCGCGGTGGCTCACGCCTGTAATCCCAGCACTTTGGGAGGCCGAGGTGGGTGGATCACCTGAGGCCAGGAGTTTAAGACCAGCCTGGCCATCATGGTGAAACCTCATCTTAAAAAAAAAAAAAAAATGTGGAGACCAAAGTTCTTTTGAAGTCTGATAGTGCCTGCCCTGGGACAACAGGTGAGAAAGGGTTCCTATTCAGTTCTTATTTAATCTCTTCAGGATTGGGAGGGTTTGAAGGAAAAAGATCTCTGGCGGGAGCTCTCTGCCAGCAAGAGGGCTCCAAACCTGAGTGGGGGGCGCACGGAAGAAAGGGAGACGGGAAAGCGGGGTCAGGAGGTCTGGAGAGTGAGTGCCCCACCAGCAACTTTATTTCACAAGGCTCAGAATATATACGTTTTCAGGGTCTGATTGACGTCATGGTAAGGAGAAAAACAGTAGCTAAATCATCAATTTTATACAATAAATTGACAGCTAAGCGATGAGTGGTTATAGAAGATAATATCTTTGGTGCCCATAAGTAAGTTTTCATAGCAAGAGACACTGTTCCTCCTGAATGCAGGCCATCTGGTTTCGCCCATCTGGTTATCTTTTAGCTGGATTCCCTTTTTCTGCTCCTGACTCCTTTATCTCGACTTCTCTTACAGGCGTCCCTGTGTCTGGACTCGACCACCCGACCACCTTGCAAGCATTCACAGGCTGGGTTCCCCACAAAGATCCACCTATGTTAATAGAGATTCTTTACAGATGCAGATTTTCCCCCACAAAGAACAGCTTTGTAGGGCCATTTCAAAATATGGCAAAGAAACTTGTTCTGGGGTAAAATATTTTTATTTTCTTCCTCCTATCATGATGTTATGTCAGGGTCAGGTTGGAAAATAAGTCTTGATATATACAGTTAAATAAAACCCATCTGATGAGAATTTGTAGGGCATGATGCCCTTGCATAGGAATTTGGGGAAGATAAAAAAATCAGAGTTTAGTCCTCAATCATGATGAGCTGCTGAATTTTGAATAAGGCCTGCTGTCATTTAAAGTATCGCCTAAATGTCTCTCAAAGTCAGATTGGCCCAAAAGACCGGGGATAATTAAGGGAAAGGCAAGATGCGGGGGAGGTTAGCTGCGGGGGAGCGGGTGGGTTAGCTCAGCTCACAGTTACCAATAATTCTCACTGATCTGTTACCCCGGTAGCTCCTCAGGCTTGAGCAGGAAGGAGAGCGCTTCCCACCCCAGCCAGGAATGTCCAGCAACCCTCAGGTGATGATCAGACGGCTGTTACACTGCGTCTCTAAAATAATAATTGGTAGCAACCAGCACCAGGGAAAGGCAGTCTCTGAATAGATTTAAAAAGCCTGAATCGATTGTAAGGTCGGCCTGCACTGTGGCCAGCCTGGCGACCCCAGGAACTGCACGCACACCTCTGGAGGGCCTTCTGGATTCAGAAAACCTGAAGCTTGATCTTCTGCTCTTCTGTCAGTTTGCTGAGAATGATGGTTTCCAGGTTCATCCATGTCCCTACAAAGGACATAAACTCA